ACCCCGTGGTACCCGAGGTGTCAGACACAGATGCTGTTTGGAGTCTTTTAGATTATGTGAAATGTCAACATCATTTACAGACACCTAGTGTCTCTTTAGGCTGGGGATGTAGTTCAATTGCTTAGCATGTGCAAGGTGCTGGATTTCATCCCCAAAACTGTCCAAAAAATAATATGACAAACCTTGCTCCTTTTTTATTTGGTTTGTTTGTTTGTTTGTTTGTTTCCAGACAGGGTCTCACTATGTAGCTCTGTCTCAAACTCAGAGAGGTCTGTCTGCCTCTGCCTCCCAAGTGCTATGATTAAAGGCGTGCGCCACTACACCTCAATGAGCCACGGCTGGTCTGAGACTCACAGATTCTCCTACCTCTGCTGGGATTAAAGATGTGCACCACTAAGCCTGACTCCTATTTCCTTTTTGTGAGGAAACTCTTGGTCAGCCATAAGCCCCCAATTTACCATGTGACTCCAGCTGGTTCACCATCTGACCCACTAAGCTATAGTCTAGCATTTGCTGCAATACACCATCAAAGCAAACTGCTATCTACAAGACTGAACTTAAGCATACCCAAGATCACAGTAAATTACAAAGGCTCCTGCCCTTGGGCCTCTCTCTGCAGCTTGCATATATAGCTTGGAGGAAGATAAGACTTGGCTCCACCTGAGGGTGCACAGCTGCAACACACAGGCCCTCCCCCAGAACACTCCTGAAGGACAGCACTGCCTCCTTGTAGGCAAAACTTTGGGCAGCGAGCCCAACTGTATGCTGTGTATGGAAGAGAAAAAATGGGCAAGTATGCAGTTAGATATTGGTTCATGTGCTGTAGCCAATGGTGTCTGGACAGTTAGAAGGGCTGCGGTTAGAACATCGGTAAGAAAGAATGCTGAGGAAGTGTGTGGGCAGATCTCCCCAAATGGGCAAAGCATGTGAAGATCTTTATGTCACATGTAAGCCCTCACTAAAAGGTGACCTCAGCTGAGGACTGCAGCAATCAGGCAGACCAGATGACCTGTTCTGTCGACAGCTTTCTTCTCATCCTCTTTCTTCAGTCACCCCTATGATTGCCCAATGGATTCCTGAGCAGCATGGTCATGGTGGCAGGGATGGAGGTCATGCATGGCCTCAGCAACATCACCTAGCAAGGCTAACCTGGCTGTGGCTACTGCTGAGTGCCCAGGCTCCCAGCAGCAAGACCAACACTGTAGTGCCATTCTCTGGATGACCAGCCCTGTGTAGCCCCGGGACCTGGTGGCAGGCTGATTACACTGATTCACTACCATCAAGGAAGGGGCATCATGATATCCTTATTAGATTAGACACTTATTTGACTATGGATTTGCTTTCCCTGTATGTAATGCTTCTACCAATAATACAGTTTATGGACCTCAGAATGCCTCACCCACAGAAATGGTATCCCATGGAACACTGCTTCTGACCAAGGACTCACTTCACAGTCAAACAAGTACTCAGTGGGCTCATGAGTGTAAGGTTAATGGGTCGTACCACAGTCTCATCATCATGAGCAGTTGGCTTAATTGAGCAGTGAAATGGCCTTTTAAAGATTAATTTATAGACCAGCTAGGTGGTATTAAGTTTCTGGGCTGAAATGAGGGTTTCATCTAGAAGGCTGAATCTTCTCTGAATTGGAATTCAATAAGTGGTAGTTTCTCCCATGGCAACAAACAAGTCAGGTTCCAGGGATTGATAGGTAGAATTAAGAATAGTATTGCTCTCTATCACGTCTAGCAAAAAATATTGTCTCCTGTAGACCAGGCTGGCCTCTGCTCACAGAGATCCACCTGCCTCTGCCTCCCAAATGCTGGGATCAGAGGTGTGTGCCACCACCGCCCAGCTCTCCACTTGTTTTTGCATGACAGTGACTTACGGTTCCACTGTCAGAATGACATCTTCAAGGTTGCTCAAGACACAGATTTCCAATCATGGAAGAAGCAAATCACACAGCTAAAGCAGAAGTCTGTCAATTGTCACTTCTAATGTCCCCTTCCTTGGAAGCCAGTACTTCCTCTTCTCCCTCTAAAGCCACTGCTTTTACCTCCTCTTCCTCTTCCTGGACTTCACTGCCCCTGCCTCTAGCAGGACATTTCTCACCTGCAAGATGAGACAGGAATCTCTCCAGTGGCAGCAACTGCTAGGGGTCTTTATAAAAATTCTGTCTTTTTGTTTTTGTATTTTTTTTTTTCAATAAAGGGTTTCTCTGGATTGTTTTTGGAGCCTATCCTGGAACTCACTCTGGAGACCAGGCTGGCCTCAAAGAGTGTGTGTGTGTGTGTGTGTGTGTGTAACTCTTCCTGTCTGTGCGTGTGTGTGTGTGTGTGTGTGTGTGTGTGTGTGTGTGTGTGTGTGTGTATGTGTTTTAAGTAAGCTATCTTTAAGTTAACTGAAAAAATTTTTGAGTTTTCAAATGTTCCATCCAGTTTTCTAATTTGTCCTTTGTTTTCTAAATTAACAGAAGTATTGAAATAAGGTACCCTGAGCTTCA